ATCAGTGCCATGGGAGAGCTGCAGGTATGTGAAGGTACCATTGACTCTGAGGTGTATATTGGGATTTTAGAGAGACATACGTTGCCATCAAGGTGATGTATCTTCCTGGGACGTCCGTGTTTAGTTTAGCAGGACGATGCCAGACCACATTCTGCATGGGCTACAACTTTTGTTGAGTGTGTTGCAGCCATGAAATTCTAACTTTTAGCTTTTATTTACAAAATACAGTTAAACTGTTGAAAATCTTTTCTTTGTACTTCTGGCAGTTAAATAAAGATTCACGTGAATTAATGAATCACAGATTATTGTTTTTATTGCATTTTACAAAATATCCCAAATTAATTGGAAATGGGGTTTGTAGTAATTTCCGCTGTACAATTTCCTTTTAGTCTTGCCTCATCACTGAAGTAAAACCTATACTGAAATGAATGGGTTAGTGGGCTACCTATGAGTGTGAATGGACCAGCTGAAAGCTCATGATTGGGAGAAGGTCAGAGAAAAAGTCTGGGATAAACAAGCTGTGTGTGCTTTCTTGAGGGGACCCCTACCTCCCACGCCACACCCCACACTGCAGGACCCCCCCGTCTGCTTGGGGGAAGGACCACAGTCTCTCTCCTGTGTGCTGTTCAGTAAACCTCACACCTCCTGCAGTATCTTCTGCCACGTATCTGTGTGGCAATAAAAACACTTCCCGTTTTCCATAATATCCATCATCCAATCACTGCCAATCCCAAGGTGACACACTGTCAGTCGCTCTCTCCCTGCATTACGAGTGTTTATTGTGTTTTTTAGGGTTTTTCACATGTAACTGTCATGTCAGCACCAAGCTCTACAGCCACCCAGCTACGCCCAGTCTGTTCCCACTCTGCCTCCCCCTGCAACGATCACCCTGATCAATGAGGAGGGTTTAAAAGGACCTGGTTCTCAGCTGATCCTTGGGAAGTACTGAGTGTTCCACCTCACAGCACAGTTGATTCCTGACCTGATACCTGTATGACTCCTGCTTCCTCTCCCAGCTTTTTTGATTTTTGAACTTGGCCTCTTCTTGAACTTTGGATTTGTATTACACTGAGGATTCGTTTGCCCGTGTTCCCTGATACCAGGTTATTGATCCCGTGCCTGTCCATGGACCAGGAATCTAAATTAAACCTGAGATTTCTGCATTTGGATCTTCTCTCTGTTGAGTCACTACAGTGACCTGTTGTGCACCACATATTTTTATTCATTATTACCATGTCTTTTTACTCTTATTTTGTACAGCACTGCTGTTTGTTCTATGACCCCATGCACGCGTCCCCCATGCAAAGGTGACACAAGAATTTCACTGTATTTTCCAGTGAAATGTGGCAATAAAATGTGAAACTGAAAAACTGGAAAACAAATGCTGAATGATTAAATGAAGGACATTTAACAATACAAGAAGGAGCAGGCGTTGGCCTTTCCAGTATTAATACCTGTTGTCCCATTTTCTGTAGACACATTCAATATGTTATTATGTAAAAACAGCATGTTGTGCAACAGCAGGTGCGGATTATTCATGTTAACTACAAGTATTTCTGGTAAACAGCTTTAAAACTTCCAAAATGAAAGTAAAAATGATTTAGAATTTCTGGGCGTGTGTGTCTCTGAGTGTCTCTTTGT